CGCCAGTCCTCAGCGCTGAAAAGACTCTGCTTTCACTGCCCAACCGCCCGGCCAGTAGGGACCGCCCCTCGTCTGGACACCGTCCAATCCACAGCGGGCCTTCTCAGCGTTTCCGCCCCCAACACGAAAGGATAGTCCTCCAAAGCCAATAGGCGCCCGAGAATTAGATGTAGCAATATCCGGGGCTGGCGGCAGACGGCATGCGGGGCCAATCGGTGTGCGGGCTGGGGGCCTGATTCCGCCTCCGAAACAATAGAAAGCCCTTGACAGGATGGTTCTCCAATGAGAAGCCTCAGACAGGATTAGGAGGAGGTGGGGCTATGCATTGCAGAGAACACTGCGCCTGCGCAAAAGTCCGGCCCTTGACAAGGTCTGACGAACTCCACCTTCCTGGTGCGTTGCTAGGGGGCGGCACCTTGCTATGCCTGTTGTCGAGGGCGTGCCCTCAACCCTGGGCTCTTTCCAGTAGCCACGCCTCTAAGTAGGCCAAGCTGGCTTTAGGCCGCCGCGGTTGCCATGCAACCGGAGCAGCTAAGGCCTTTCTTTTGCCTTCTCCAGGTCCTTCCCTGTCCTCTCAGCCCTCTGCTATCTCCAAACTCTTTTCTTAATACCGTCTACGTTCTCTCGAGCTGCCTCAGCCTCTTCAGACTCTAAGGGTGGTGAAATGAAAGACTTAATCTTTTTTCCCAATGCCATGCTATTTGGTACCTGTCATGGAGAATGGGACAATAAGGGAAGGCCAACTATAGTGAAAACTCGGGTTCTGATTCCCAGCACCTTCTACCTCTTCGACTCCTCCCCCAATTCAGCATACTAAGAGCCCTCCCTTCCCCAGAATCCTCCTGCTAAAAGGACTCCTCTTCCTTCGGCACCCTCCTTCCTCGATTCCTGCCCTTCTCTGTGTGTCTTCTCCGCATTCCACCTAGCCTGGCCTCACACACTTGCCCTACTTAAACTCCTTCCTCCTCTCAAAACTTGTCCCTATCCAAGGGCCTTCCCCTTCCCCAGCCCCTTGATGGCTCCTTGCAGGTAGGGCAAACCGAGCAGGGGCCTGGCTGGCATGGGGAGCCAGGGCATCCCATAAAGGGGAGGGACCATGATGGGGGCTAAAGTGGTGTCTGGGCTTCGTCCTCATTTGCCATCTTGTCCTGCACAGGTGCGGACGGATTCAGAGCCAAGGCCCAGTTAAGCTGTTGGATTAGACACAGAGCCTCTAATCCCCTCACTGACCTTTATGAGTGGCCCAGGTCCTGCCCTCCCCAGTGGAGGAGTTCCAGGCTGTGCCAACACTGCCCACCTCGTCCCAAACAGAACCACCCCCTGCCCCTCCGCCCCCACCTGACACTCCTCCCCACCACTAGGTTTCCATTGTCCCCAGTCCCAGAGACAGATGCCCTAGGCTGGGAGAGCAGCCAGCTAATTAATGCCATCCGGTTATTAAGTGGGGATTCTGAAGGATAAAGAGAGACGAAGGAGCCAGGAGAGGGGACCTGGGCTGATGCGGCTCTTGGGTGGGCTGGTGGCCAGTGACAGTGCCTGCCCTCTGCTGGGAACACAAGGTGGGAACACATCCTCCCCCTGGCACAGGCTCCCTCTGCGGCTGGCTCCCAGCCTCCTGGCCACTTAAGAGGATGGCAGCATGGATGAAGGCCAGGCCCCAAGCCCCTTGCCCCAGAAACACTCAGACACACCCACCAGGGTGGCCAGGTCTTTAATCTGGGGACAGACCCACCCCTCAAATGCCCACACAGTGGGAAGACCCCTAGTATTCAGAGCTATGCCCTCCGCCATTCCCCTGAGCGGGGAGCAGGAGGTGGCGACAATGATGCTTAGCCACAGTCTTGCTTGGCCTGCAATTCACAAACTAGTTCAGAGCCAGCCTTCAAGATCATCTCCCATCCCAGCTGCCTCTGGGAGGCCATGTGATCCGGGGGCATCAGGAAATGCCCAGGACCAGCATCCCACCCTACCCTCCACGAGGCGAGCAGCCATCCTACAAATGCCTTTGGAGAACTTTTTAAGTCCCCAAATCCTGTTTTCACAGACAGGGAAACTGAGGCAAACAGAGGAGAGCAACTTGCCCAAAGTCACACAAAAAGTTGGCACAGTTGTGACACAGAGCAATACTTCCTGTCCTTGAAAAGGACTCCATTACAATTAACCTGAGTTCAATTTCTAATCTTGCTGTAGTAAGTAGAGGAAAAAATAGATATCTGTACATATACATTATATATATATATAATACACATATGTATAATATTTTTAAGAAACATACACATCAGTAGGTGTAGTATTCCAGAACATTCTAGACTCACCAGCTTTGGGCCTCCCCTTCCCTTGCACACTAATCAGCCCTGTGACCTACAAGGTCTCACCTGAGCCCTCACTTGGTGGGTCAGCCCAGAAATGCTACACATCAAGTCCTGTGTCCCCTTCCTAGAATTGCTGAGCAGTCCACCCAGAGGTGATCAGAACTTCTAGGCTTCAGTAATGGACAACTCTGGGTCCCTGGAGCCTTGATTCTCTTTGGCATTATAGAACCACAAGTCATTTAGGTTCAAGATTCTCAACTTCATTAGGCAAACAGGAGCCAGCAGATTGAGGTCATCTAGAATCACCATGCCTTCCTTGACAATGTGATCAATCTAGAGCCCAGAATCCTGATTCCTTTGCACATTCTAGAATGGCACTTCAAACAGAAACAAAAACCACGCTGTGGATGATTCAGAAGCTGTGCTTATCCCCTCAGTTGGATGTTCTACAGCCCAACAGTCAGAAGTTCTTTCATTTCAAGAACTCCCAGTCTGTCATTTTTGTCCATCTAAACCCAGGTCTTGCTGTTTTATGCATTCTAGAAACATAACTCTAATTTCTGGAGTAGTTCAGCTCCCTAGGTCAGCCTGTTCTAGAATCACCAGTGTTTGCCTATATGGTACACCTAGACTCAAAAAATCTGAACTCTTGGGCTTTCTGGAACCACAAGGTCTTTTCTTGATATGCAATCAAAATTTTTTGCTTTTGGTCAATCAGGATGGTATTGAATACGTGGAGTGTTCCACAACCTTCTCTCCTGAAGTGGTCTTGAACAAATGATTTGCCTCTCATTTGGCTGACCAACCAGCAAGAGCCTCTTGAATCTTAGGCCAACCTAGTCCTACAGACTTGATCTCTGTTGCTGTCCAGGAACTGACTTCCTCTGCGATGGTAGCTGTCTGTATCACTGATCTCTGACCCTGCTCAACAATCAGGCTCAGCCATGTAGAGGAATCTAGAACCACCAGCTCTTGCCTCTCTGGTGGTACAGAATTCTGAATCCCTCAGCTCTGCTAAGAGTCAGGAATTGGGCTCATAAAGCTGTGTCAGGAGGGAGCGCAGAAGCAAAGAAATTAAGGTCCAGGATGTCTGTGCTGGGTCCCCCAGGCCTGGCAGATTTACCTAGTGGACTTGTTGGTCTTGGGAAACACCTGACCCCATCCCAGCAGAGGTTGATCTCTCCATCCTGCTACCTCTGGGAAGCGGGCACAAGTGGGGAAGGGGACATCAGTTTGCATCACGGGAGCAGGGTCAGAGCCAGGGTTGGTGTGAGGACTTGGGGGCTGGCAGCTCCTTCTTCTGTCTCTGCCCCAGTCCCCTCTTTGGTCTCCTCTTCCTCATCTTCCTCCTGGCAGCAGCTCAGAGCAAGCTCATTCTCATAACAAAATGCAGCCAGGGAGCCAGGGAAGCTGGACTTGGGGCTATGGGCAGCCTGCTCTGCCCGTTCGTCCAGCTCCTTGGCGCTGCACACAGGTGTCCCTGGGACCTCGTAAGTGCGATGGAAGTGCCGATAGTCCACCTCGTACTGGGAGCCACGCTGGAAGAGCACCGGCTCAAAACGGTGGCCCCAGAGCAGCTCTCCAGGGAGGTAAGAGGAGCGACACTGCGTGGTCATGGCCGTGGCCTCCACCATGCCTTCCAGAATGACCACGAGCTCGAAGTCAGCCCTGGCCAGCTCAGCACGTCCCAGCTCATACAGAGGACTGGCTGAGTCGATCTCGTGCACGATGGTGATGGGAGACACGAGGAAGATGCGGTCAGTGCCTCCGTCGAAGCCCACATCCACATCCTGGTGGTCCAGCGGGATGTACTCACCCTCTGGGGTCACACGGGGCTACAGCAAGAGGCCAGGAGCACAGAGACGAGAGGGAGAGAGAGAGGAGCAGAGGTACAGAGGAAAAAGTAAGCAAAGGCCAGTAGGGGTGAGTGACAGGGTGAGAACATGGATGGGGGGACAAGAGACCCAGAGATAAAGAGAGAAGGACAAAGTCAGAGAGGGTTTGGGGACAGCAACCAAGGGAGGTGGGTCAGGGGAAAGAAAAGGACAGAAAAGTAGAGTGATATTGGCATAGAGCCACAGAAGTCAAGACAGTGACACAGAAGATGAGGATGACATCCAGCCGGGGAATTAGAGAGAAGAGGGATAGAAACAAACAAACAAACAAACAAACAAAACGGCTTTCAATACACGGCCAGAGAAAGGTAAACCGGGCTAACAAGGGGAGTTAGGATCATGGAGGGTCCACATGCTGGACTCCATCCGGCCTCAGGCTTGCCCTGGGCTATCTACCACCAACCCAACCACCTGCCTCCCAGCCGGTGAGAGAGCCCGACCTCAGAGCTGGGGTCCGTGTCCCCCACATGCCGCAGAGCCCTGGAACGCCGGAGAATTGAGTCATGCAGCACTGCAGGTGCCAGCTGCTGCCCACCTCACGCCTGCCTGAGACCGAAAGCAACTCCTAGCACCCCAGTGTCTGCTGGCAATTGTCCACCCGAGCCCTGGAAAGGCCACACAAAATGCCATCTCAGACCACGCCATCGGGGCACCTCCCTGCTCCGAGGCTCCCGGGAGCAGGAGGCCATTCAGGTCTACACCACCCAGAAGACCCGGGAGCTCCTCATACCCCAAGTCCCAGCCTCCGGAAGGGCCGACACACGTCCACCTGGGGGCCCCCTGTCCCGCGGCAGCTCGGGGAACCCCGCACCCAAGGGCCCCT